CGGCGGGGCTCGCGTGCCGGCGGCGCGCTGGGGTCTGCCCCTCGGCGGCGCCGCGCTGCTCCTGCTGCTCCTCCCGGCCGCCGCGGGGCAGAAGCCGCCCGGAGTGGGTGAGGACGGCGCGGGGTGCGGGGCGCGGGGCGCGGGTCCTGAGCTGGGGCGGGGCCGGGGTCACAGCCACGCGGGGTCGCCGCCCCGCCGCTTCCCGGGCCGCGGACGACAGGGGCGCCCGGAGGGGGCCGGCCCGCCCTCTGTGTTGGTCCCGTCCCTGCGGCCGGGGCGCGCGGCCGTGCGAGGGGGTCCGGGCTCGCGGCCCGCGGTGCGGCGCGTTCCCGCGGGGCCGGCCGGGCCCAGCGCACTGCCCTCGCTCACCCTCACCACGACCCTCGGCCCTCTCGAAAACAGCTCTGGGGTTTGGCTTCGGTGTCGGGAAATGCAATTTAAGCTGCGCGAGCCCCGCAGCTGGCCGGGGGCGGTGTCCCGGCGCCAGGCCCGTGGGGGTTGGGAGGGCCGGGGCTGGTGTCGCAGACGCTAACTCCTGCGCTCGAGGAGGGGGGCTCGGAGTTATTCGGCGTCTCAGGCTGAGCAGGAAAGCCACGGCCTCTGCCACTCTGAAGCCAGCCGCTGTCCGGGCCTGCACTCCACCTGGGCTGGGACCCCGGGGGTGCCAGCTCTTGTCTGACTTTGAGAAGCTGAGCTCCTGGGGGGCCTGACCAAGAAACAAGCAATTGGAGTGGTGGGTGAGGGCCCTGCTAGTGGAGAAGTCGCCGGACCCGAGGGCCCCCGAGTTGCAGAAATGGGGTCTCCTGCTGGAGCGTGGCTTCTTGGAGGGCGGTGACGGGGAGACGCGGCCTCAGGGCCTGGTGGAAAATGGGGCAGGGTTTACACCCGGGGGCCTGTAGTGGTGCGTCTGTTTTAGAAACGTTTCTTGCTGTGTGTGGAGTTCCCGGTTCCCATGTGACCACGAGTTGTGGGACACAGCCAGGGGCAGGCCTGCCTCTTCGTTTCAGCTTCAGGACCTTCACGAGTAGAATTGACCGGGGCCCAGCGGGAGGGAGGGGCCAGTAGGTTTGTCATTTCTGTTTAGCACCGAAGTCGTGACCTCATGGAATGCCTGCTGTTCCAGCGCGGGAATGCCCGAGTTTCTGAGCCACTTCCAGATGTACTGTCGTGTGTATTTGTGACGCTTGTTGACACAGCAGTCCGTTTGTCCTGTGGAGGGAACTTGTGGTGTAAATCGAGGGCTGAGCAGAAACGGGGAAGGAGTCCTTTTTATGAAACAGTGGCTGTCTGCCAAAAGACGTTGTGAGCGCGCGAGAATCTCGCCGTGGCCGAGGGTGTGAGTGAGGAAACGCCGGGAGGCGTGTTCGGCCCTCTGCTTTCCCGCTGCCTTGGAGCCCGAAGCCCCAGACCCTGTGTGCGGTGTGTGGCCACGTCCTTCCGCGGGCTGGGAATTAAACCACAACTGTCAGTTCAGTATTTTGTGGGGAAAACAGCTGCTTTTCGAGCCACGTGGCATCCGCTGACCATCAGGCCCTTGGAAGCTGCTCTCGTTGGCTTTAGCTCATAGTGATGCCTCGTTTTGTCTCCCGGACGCACTCCACGTCCTGGGTGGGGTGTTTTTTCTCATCATCCACACCTTAAAAGGGAGGAATGGTGTCAGGCTGGGATGGTGTTCACTGCCCAGGTGCCCTTGGGGTCTGCATTGTCCTTTCATTGGAGAGGGGCACTGTCGCAGCACTGAGGGCCCCCTTCCCAGATGTGCTTGGTGTGAGGTTTCCACTGCTGGTCATACTACAAGGATGTGGCTACACTCTGGAAGACACTGCCTTCCTTGTAAGGAGTTTAACCAGGGCTCTGCCGAGAAGCAGAGCCAGTATAGCCATAGAGAGAGTTATTATGAGGGATTGGCTCACATGACCGGAGGCTGAGGGGGCCCAGAATCCACCGTCTGCCAGCTGGAGACCCAGGACAGAGGGGGGTGTAGCAGCAGGGAGCCAATGGCGTAAGTCCCAGCCCAGTCCAAGGGCCCGAGAACCAGGGGTGCCCCAATGACCCAGGGCAGAAGGTGGGAGTTTCCGCTCAAGCAGGAGGAGCAGATCCATCGCCCTCTGCTTGTTGGCTCTGTTGGGCCCCCCAGCGGACTGGCGATGCCCGTGGCATCGGGAAGGCCGGTGTCTTGACTCAGCCTGCCCACCCACATGCCAGTCCCTTCCAGAAACGCCCTCACAGACACACCCAGAACAATATTTTACCAGCTATCGGGCGTCCCTTAACCCAGCCAAGGTGACACATAAAATCAGCCCGCACAGGTATGTGAACTCTAAGACTGTACACCAATCCAAAGCCAACAATTCCTAATGTTTCCTTGTGTGCTTTGGTGGCAGGGACACATGGCGAGCCCACGAGGCACTGAGGTGTTTGAGAGCAGTGTGCCTTACGCTGAAGAAGCCTGCGGGGCTTTTGGACCCCACTTATACCGCACACGGGGTCGGACTCCGCCTGCGTCTCGTTTTTACATCTGGGGAAGACAACCCCTCAAGGGACCTCAGCCTGGTGTCCTGTGGGAGGGTCCAAAGAAGCTTCGTGGGGGCCGCCGACTGCTCCTGACAGTGGGGGCTTGGTTTGGAGGGCTCTGCAGCCTTGCCCCCCTGCGTCCCCTGCCATGGTGGTGCCGGGGCTACTGTGTGTGCCTTGGTGCGTGGTTTCAATACACTCTCTCCAGTCGCCCTGAGATAGGAAGGTGAGCAGGGCCGCTGTGTAAGTGAATTTCCCACCCTTGCCTCTCTCGGGAAGTGGACAGTGGGCAGGGCGCGCTCAGCCGCTGTCGAGTGCAGTGTCCAAACAGGAGCTTGTCGTGCCACTGAGGGGCTCGGCCCCCTGCGCCCTCGGCCTGTTGTGTGACACATGTACCAGGAACAATATTCTCGTTCATTTCCTTATTTACGAAACATATCTCTTGCCACATGCTGGTGTGTGTCCTTTTGTACTTAATCAACTGACTCACCTGAAACTTTAGGAAAGAACTCGAAAGTGGGTCATGGGTTAGTGTATCCTACAGAAGAACCTTTCTTCTTTCTTTCTTTCTTTCTTTCTTTCTTTCTTTCTTTCTTTCTTTCT